AACCAATCCAGAGAATATAATACGTCTGCCTGGAAGGAGCTCCAATTCTAGAAATAAGCATTCATGGGTGGGCCTGAAGCAAAAGTATTTTAGCAAGTAGAATACAGAGTAGTTTTTGGTATTGTTAATTTTGTTATAATATTCTCATCCGTTTATTATTTTGAGCATGCCCCTGGTGACAGAGAAAGCATTTTGAGTTGGTTGTTTATAGGAACTTTGCTACCAGGGATTTAGTGGTATTTCTTCCATGATGGCCATCCTGCCAGCATGAGGCTAATCACAGATGCTCAGAGTCTTTGGTGCCCTGCACAATGTGTTGTAAGTGGAGGATGCTCAGTCAATGCAATGTGCTCAGTGATGGAATGGAAGCCTTTTTTACTTTACCCTGTCTTCTTCAAGAGAGCTTGACTGGCTGCCCAGAGCCTCTCTGGGGACCCGAGGGTTCACTGGCCTTGTTCTCCTCTTATCCGTGATAAAAAGTCTGGCCCAGGTTGCCTGGAGGAAATAAGGCTAGTCATTTATCTGTTGTGGCCAGAAGAAGCCCTATAATTAGGGCTAGTGGACAGAAACGTTTGTTTGTATGTTTTTTTGTGTGTGCATATGTGCTATTGTAGTTCTATTTCCCTCTGGTTTTAGTTGTTTTTTTAAGATAGCAGTTAGCTTTTCTCTAATTAATAAACCTAGCTCACAAGTATAAATCTCCTTAATCCCCCCTCGAATTCCTATTTAATGAATCAACGATTTGAGCGCCTCCTTTGTTCCAGGCAGTGTGTGAAGCATCAGGGATGTTAGATGAATAGGACAGGTTAAGGCAAGACCCCCCAAGAGTGTGTCATCGATCAGGGAATATGGCTTTGTTTGATACATAATTACACTGCATGAGTAATATTAGAGTGGAGTCTTAGGGGGCTGGGAGCTACCTCTATTCCTGCAGACACATACTTGCTTAAAATCCTTTTAGTTTGTATTTGATTTTAGTGTGAATGCTTGAAGTCTGCCCCAAGATAAAACAAAAGGTTTCTCCCCCACCCTCCAGTATCTATGAAGTGATCTTTTATTTGTACATATTCTCCCATGTGTATCCAAAGGAGAATGTTTTTCTGAAGGTCAAATGCCCTAAGGTCTAGTTTACAGCTGCAGACATTTGCTACTCATCATGTAACAAGCAATGATGTCCAGGGAGTCTGAACACAGGGTTTGGTCTTTGTGTGGCTCTCTTTGAATTATATACTCTCTAACTATACACTACAACAACAGTGGCAGTGGTTTTGGTAGTTGTGTAGAGATGTAAATTGGTTTGTAATTTGAAAAAACAAACGTTATCCTAGAAGAAAGGGTTGTCAGCTCAAATGTCATCACACAGTCTGATATCCCTTGACAACCACTCTTGGTTTACGTTTTCTGTTTTTTAAAATGAACGTTTACCTTTTAATAGGTGAGTTTGGCCAAGATGATTTTTTTATACTGCCCTGGTTCAATTTTGATAGGAAGAGAGTATTAGTCAGAGATGGTTCGTAGTGCTGCCCTCTTTCTAGTGTGGAATGGTTTTCTTTCAGATGATTCTACTGGAATCCTGAAGATCTGGTTTCTATCACCTAGAAACCCATCAGGGCCAAAGTCCTGAATTTTGAGATGAGGGGAGACTTTTTCCTCCTGATGTAATTGATCTTGAACTATTTTCAACCTTTTTTCTTGACTCAATTTTATAATTTTTATGCTTTATAAAATTATCAAAATCACGAGAAAGCTGCTTCTTTTCTAAGTTTTCTTCAAAAGAGGCACAAGGAATCATTAAAGGGAGATGGAAATATGTTGTATCATGCCCAGGGGGGTGGTTTCCTGATATAAACGTCTATCAAAACATATCAAATTGTTTACTCTGATAGTAAATCAATGGTGTTTCACTAAGATAAATGTATCTGCAGGAAATTATATGTAACCATTTTTGATATTTTTTAAAAGAATTTGCTTCTACATCTTTTGATATGTTCCTCTTTTGGGGTTCTTTTTTTTTAAATCATCTTATTGGAGGCTCTACAACTCTTATCACAATCCATACATCCATCCATTGTATCATTTGTACATTTGCTGCCATCATCATTTGCAAAACATTTTCTTTCTACTTGAGCCCTTGGTATCAGCTTCTCATTTTTTCCCTCCCCCCCTCATGAACCCTTGATAATTGATCAATTATTATTATTTTTTCATGTCTTACACTGACCAATGTCTCCCTTCACCCACTTTTCTGTTGCCCATCCCCCTGGAAGGGGGTTTGGTTCTTAATGTTTATTTTATATTTTTAATGCTGTTTATTTTCACTGTCTTTATTTTTCTTCGTGAATCTTGTTAAAGATGTTGATCTCCTTTTACAAAAAGAGGGGAAAGTTACACTTTGGACAAAGGGGATGAGATTCTTGGCTTTAGGAAGGCTGTGTAGCCAGCAGGGTGGGTCGAGTGGCATCGTTTTCTGGGTGAAAGCTAGGTGTGACTGAAATATCACTCAGTGGCTTGGAGATGAGCGTCCTTCAGAATATTTGAGGCAGCCTGGCTGGCAGCACTGACACGCATTGCCTGTTAGGAACCTGGTTCTGCCACGTTTGCTTCCAGGGCCAGACTACTGGCTCTTGATCTGTGACCCCTTTACCTGGCAGACTGACAAAGATGTGTGGCAGAACTTGAAATGAACAGAGGACCCGTTCCCTGCTGAATAATATATCTTACTGCCTTGGAATGCATATGTTTGTTTAGCCAGCTAAATATAGCTGTGTCCTTACTTAAAGCACTTTACATGTTTTCTTTGTTTTTATAAATAGAGAAAACCTCATTTTCTGGTTTTGAGGGAACTAATTATACTTCATTGCTTAATTTAAAAGCTCAATTGCTTTTTATTTTCTTGTATTCATAAAATGATTTATACAAGAAAATATCATAGCACGTACGATGGGCTGTTTAATCGTCATCACTATTGTCAGGTGTCGTCGAGTGAAACAGAAACCCTGCCCACACCTGCACCATCCTCACAATCATTACTCGGTTCGAGCTCATTATTGCAGCCACTGGGTCAATCCTGGCAGAGAGGGCTTGTCCTTTTTGTCACTCCCACGCATCATGTGCTTCTCCAGACTAGTTCTGCCTGATAACATGTTCAAAGGATGTGAGACGGGGTCCTGCCATCCTCACGTCTAAAGAACATTGTGGCTGTACTACTTCCGAGATCATTTGCTCCTGCTTCGGACTGTCCATGGCATGTGGAATATTTCCCACCAACATCATAACTCACATGCATCGATGTGTTCTTCTTCTTTCTTGATTGCCCAGCTTTCACAAGCATATAAGCCAAAAACCAACCCCACTGCCATCAAGTCGTTTCGTGCTCATAGCAACACTGTCTAAGGTTTCGGAAATTGTTACCATGAGGGGAGCAGAACATCAAGTCGTTTCTAATCGTAGTAATGCTATCTATATAGGATTTACGGGACTGTTCGTTTTGGGGGGGACAGATAGCCTCCTTTTTCTTCTATGGAGTGACTCTGAGTTTGAACCCCTGCCCTTGTGGTCAGCAGCCCAGTAGCTAACCAACAGCACCCGAAGGCTCCTTCACATGCATAAAAGGTTATTGAAAGTACCCTGGCTTGGGTCAAGCACACATTAGTCCTCAAAATGACATTCTTGCATTTTACTATTTCGAAAAGGTCTTCTAAGGCCGGGTTGACCTATGCAGGCCTTTGAAAGTTTGACTTACCTCCATGGACATTGATAGTGGGTACAAGGAAATGAACTATTTAGCAACTCTTCTTTTATCACGATGTTTATCAGCCAGTGTGAACGCTTTCTTTCCTTTATGTGGAGGAGCAGTTAATAAGTGCTTCAAGTCCTCTCGGCTTTGCGAGGTGGTGTCATCTGCATATCGCAGGTCTTAGTAAGCCTGCCTGAAGCTACAATCTTTGTCATACGGCGGCCGGTGGCTGGGATTACTTTCCCAGCGTGTAGATTGAGTATGTACGGAGAAAGGGTTCAAGGGCGATGCACATCTTTCCTGATTTTAAACCACACAATAATTATTTAATATTATGGTAAATTACATTTTAATATAAAATAAGATATTGAGACAGTAATCCTTACTCAATATACATCCAGAGATGGCCTTGATGGCCCTCGGGCTCAGCACCCAGGTGTTTATTTTAAATTTGTGTCAGACCTCCTAGACTTGAAAACAAAGGGGTACAAACGTGAGGCTCCATCGGACTGCTTCCACGCGTCTATTTTCACTATTTATTTATGGAGCACTCTTGTTTGATTTGTTTTAATCTTGGGGATAATTGGAAACCCGTGTCTAAAAGTACGTAACTTAAAAGCAAATATAAATAGAAGCTCACAAATCACAATAGTCCTCCTGACTCTAAAACTGCATTCTTTCCTCTGCTATTAGGATAAAGCGTGCTTGTGGGTCCTCCGTTAAGCCAATTAACTGGAAGTGAAAGTCGCTTTTTAATTTATTCATATTTCTAAAGCCTAGAAGTCAAGGCTAAGTATTTTATGTTATCATCATAATTATAATTTTGTTTTGTTTTGTTTTAACAGAAAAGAAACATTCTTAGCTTTCTGGTAATAAAAGAATTTTATTTTATGTTTTCATTTTATTGATTTAGATTTCAAATTAGAGAGCAATGTGTAAAACCTTTTAAATCTTGAGTTATGGGCTAATGTGAAATTATCAAACAGAGGACCACATATTCTATTTTCTTGCAATATAAGAAATAAACGATGAAACAAGTTCCTGACAAAATGAGGGGAAAGATTAACAGGGGAATTTATAATAAGGACAATTTTAAAACCATATCTTCAAAACTTTCTTAAGATCATAAATGTTATCTTGTAACGTTCTCCTTATGTTTGCTAGCAGTCTCGGATCTCGCACGTGGCTCACACCCATTTAAGAAGGGGTAAAATGCTCCCCTACCTGATGCTAAAGTAATGCATCTGGTTCTCTCTTTTCGCAGATAACAAAGAGATTTTCCTTTCCAAAGCAATCCACAAGGCCTTCATAGAGGTGAATGAGGAAGGCTCAGAAGCTGCTGCCGCCTCAGGTACCAAGTTTTATTAGTAGTAGCAGTACTACTCTTCTCACCTTTTCTAGAATGTATACACATTTTTAACAAGCTGGTGTGGTGGTGGAGGTCATTTCCAGAACCAAGCCAGGAAAACGGGCTCTGTTCTAACAGGACTCACGCTAATGCTGAAGCAGGCAGACTTTTCTAAACAGGCTGGGCAACTTGCCTCACACGAAGGCCCTCTCTCCCGTGTACTGCGCATCTCATTTTCTCTCTAATGAGACCCAGGAAGATGGATGTTGGCGGTTCCATGAGAGTAGAATTTCCTACCACGCTGCCCATTTGAATATTTTTTCTTCTTACCTAATTGCTTATGTAAATTTGTTTCTAATTTTGTAAGTGTTTCTAATTTTGTAATTTTTTCTCCTTACTTAATTGCTTATGTAAATGTGTTTCTAATTTTTATTCGTTAAAAGTATCTAGAGTACATGATAGGAAGTACCAACTATATCGACGGGTATTTCTAAACCACTTGGACGTCAAGCGCGTGTCTGAAGTGTAATGGTAAAAGGCCCGGGTCATGTTGATGCTTCTGACTTCTCTAACTACCTGAAAGTGATCTTTATTGTCACCTTTGGATTTTCTATCTTAATCCCACTTTCAAGAACTGCCACATTTGGTATTATTTATTTTTCCTTCAGCTATCAACTAAACAATATATGTGTACACATTCTTTCTAGCTTTTGTGTATATGTGCCCATTTATAGGATCCCATTCATTCATTTTTTACAAGTTAAATAGTATTATTTTCAGGAAAGGGGAATAGCAGGATTAACAACAAGAAAGTCTAAAATCGTATGTGATTTGATTTTGAGGCTGTCTGCTTCTGTGATGATTGACAGTCTTAGAATCCCTCTATAATGCCAGAATATTATTTTGTCATGGACCCCCCTGCTTAGCATCAAGCCATGCTAAGGGTTGCCAGGGAAGGTCCCCGCCGAGCTGTGGGAACCCATAGCAGCCCTCACTGCTGTGCTTTCCCCTCAATCACGGCCATCCTGACCATCCGCTAGACACGGGGCGGCTTGGCATACACATTCCAAACAGAAAGCAATCAAAGACTTCAGATCGGAAGAAACTGTCGAAGGGCCTTATATTGTTTGTTTGTTTTGTTTTTCTCTCTGCTCTCCCCATCCCAAGTCAAAGGTTATTTTAGTAAAACAAGTATTTATCTGCGACTGAGAATAAACATCATGAAGGAGATAGAACACACTGTATTATTATTTTTGACATGGGGAGAGAGTGTCTGTGTGTATGTTTCCTTTTGCAGATCAGGTAGAAATGTTAACACCTTTACAATTTCTGTCTTGTTAAATCTTCAAACGCTTGCTTCCTGTAAATTGCTGCCTTCACATTAAGCATAAATGGGTTTGAGACATTACTCATTAGGCTTTGCACACACACACACCAGCCCATAATTACTCTCTCTCTCTCTCTGCACCGCAGGAATGATTGCAATTAGCAGGATGGCTGTGCTGTATCCTCAAGTTATTGTGGACCATCCATTTTTCTTTCTTATCAGAAACCGGAGAACAGGTAAGTCTGTTCTGAGAGTAGAACTTTAATGAGCAGGGTACGATGAAACTTTTTATTTAACTGAGGCCATGATTTTTGTTTTTTCTTCCACAGAATTTATGACAGACTTTCTAATGTTTGGATGATCTTTTTTACAAATGAAAGTATATTTATATGTTCACTTTTAGCACATGACTAATGTAGAGAAAAACAAATAAGCATTTGCTTTTTGCTTAATCCCATTTTCTCACCTTTTCTTTTGTCCACTCCCAACGGAACACAGGTACAATCCTATTCATGGGACGAGTCATGCATCCTGAAACCATGAACACAAATGGACATGATTTTGAGGAACTTTGAGTCATTTCATTTAAGTAACACGGAAAGTAGTAGCTAAGCACATTGTGTTTGCAACCCGTATATAGTTAATATTTGTGTTTTACAGTGTATCTTAAGAGAATATTTAAAATAGCTCTGGATAAACACAACAATGTATATAAATGATAAGCCAACCTTGTTAAGGAATGTTATCAGTATTATTAAGCTAATGGCCCTGTTATGTCATTGTGTTTGTTGTGCTGGTGTTTAAAATAAAAATACATATTGAACATGTGAACAGCGTTGTTAATTTTCATTTTAGAAATAAAGAAAAGAGACCTTGTGGGGAAGTTTGGAAACAGTGCTGTTTCTGGACATCTTAGCTCAATCACGACCATTCAGAGCAAAAGGAACAAAGCAAATGCGCATCGTGCACCTCATACATCAAAAACCAATAAGGATCCATCCAGGGAGGGGAGAAGGGCTCGCCACAAACATTCTAATTTGGAGTTCTCTGAAGAGGAGCTGTAGTGTTGTGCAAAAGAATGCAGCGGACACCCTCTTCTAAATGACACTACTACAAGACGTGCTAGGAAAAAATCGGGCTGTGAAAACCCCTACACGCTAGTCATAGTCTAAGTGGTATGTCTACAAATGCCACATGTTTTCATATGCCTGGGATAGTTGATAAGCCTGTTGTCTCACCATGTGTTGCTGCTTCGAGTACAGTTAGAACGATACATTCCCAAATAAGCCAATCCATAATAGAAAATAAGTCTTTGGAATTAACTAGAATCAGATCATACTTGAAAAACTATGTTGGTGCAGATCTGGGAGACAGAAAGGGCATGGGCTGGACATTCTCCACACAGGTGTTCTTGTTAGTTCTGCATGGTGCATTTAAAAGTTGAACTTGAATATCAGTCATTGTGATGTTACTCTCCTGTGCCTCCTGTTGGTTACCTGGGTGGTTCTTGGAGCTGTTTGCCTTCGAGGTCTCAGAAGAGCTCAAATAAATTGATCTTTTCTAGGACACGAGGTCATCCATGTCAATGGATGGGCACAGTGTCCATGTATGGCCTCCTGTAAATGATCTTGTTATTTTTAGACTGAGATCATGGTATTTCTGGAGGGAGGGAGTATAATTTCATCATGTATCACGAATAGAGAGCAGACTTTTTAATACCAGATGTTTTTATTCTGAGCTTAATAGCTTCAGGGAAAGTCTGTGTTTTCAAAGAGTAACAGAAGCCATTTGCGTGTTACCTTCTTGTGAGTTGGGTATTTTGTTATTATTTGAGTCTGTTAAAATTAAGTGATTTTTTACTGTTAATTTTAATTCAATTTAAGAGAGCAATGGTTTGGAGAAAACAGACGTGAAAGAACTAATTCTATGAGTAAAAATCTGGCAAACTGCTTAGTAAACAAACTAACCAACTAAGTAACCTTCCCTGAAAATTCTAGTTTACAATAAATGGTGTACAGTACTAAAGTATATATGTGAAATGTTTATCTGTAGACTACTTATTTTTAAAAGGCAAGCCCATCACCATGAAGTTGATTCCAAACCTTTGCTGTCTGCATGTTTATGAAAGCAGGCTCCCAATCTTTCTCCCAATCTTTCCAATCCCAGCAGCTGGATTGGAGCAACCAACCTTTCTGCTTCCAGCCCAACACGTAACCTACTGCGCCACCTGGGCTCCTGACTAGTGGTTTAACTGCAAACAGGCCTACACCCACTGCCATCAAGTCGAAGTGGAATCATATTGACCCTTTGAGACAGAATAGATCTGCTCTGTAGGCTTTCTGAGATTATAACTCTTCAGGAGCAGACAGCCTTCTCTTTCTCCTGGCTACTAGCCAATTTTGTGGTTAGCAGCCTAACACTTGTCCCACACCACCACCAGAGTTACTTGACTCATTATTTATGTTTCTCAAAACTCAGTGACATGAATTGATTCTGACATCTAGTGACTGTATAGAACAGGGAAGAACAACTTTGAGTTTCTGAGACTAACTTTTTATGAGTCGAAAGCCCTGACTTTCTCCCCTGGAACAGCTGGTTGTTTTGAACTGTTGACCTTGTGATTAGTAGCCAAATGTGTAACCACTAATCCACCTAAGGTCCTTGTTTATGTTTAGATATGGCTAATTTATGGAAAATTAACGCAATCACAGAGTGTCTAAATTGATGTTCTTCAAACTTTGTTGTGCATTTAAATTGCTTGGGGACCTTTATTTTTTATTAAAGGTAGATTTTCAACAAGTAGGCTAGTGATGGATCCTGAGATTCTGCATTTCTGACAAGTGCCCAAGTGATGCTATTATGCTATTGCTATTTGTCTATGGACTCAGTTTAAATGGCCAAACTCTACACAATATAAGGTTTGCAAGTTTGATGTGTTTTATAAATGGAAATAGAAAAACCGCATAATCTCCATACAGCTTATGGGGATATGGGTATTCAATGTTAAAAATTCAGTGTACTGATATTAAAACTGGGCAGAAAAAAATGTTTTTATTCTAAAGTTCCCCCTCTCCATAGTACACTATGGAAAAATGCAATATTTCTCTGCATATTTAGGAAACTTTAAATATATTATTTAAAGGCATACAGACATTTATAGGCAATCCCACAAAAAATTTTACAAGTACCCAAGCACATAATACTTAACACTGAATTTTTTACAGCTTACATTTTCAGAAGATTTACAGTTTATTCATAAAATTGAGGCTACTGTAGAATGACATGTTTGTTTTCATTTATAATGCATACATCTCAGCCTAACTGATGTTGACTCAGAATTAATCCTCTGAGTTTGTGATGTACTGAAGAATATCCTTACATATGTGAAGCATTACATGTGTTGCTATCTCTGTAGGTTCATCATTGAGTAAGTTACATGTAAGGAAAAGTAAATGTCATTAGGCAGTTATGCAGATTCTGTAAAGCCCAAAATGCAATCTGTATTAACTGGTATAAATTGAAGCACTCCTGTTCAGAAGGTTGACCTTAAAGTATCTCAATATAATTTGGATGCCAAAGAGCCTTGGTGGCATAGTGGGTTAGACATTGGGCTGCCAACCATAAGAGCAGAAGTTCAACTCCATGAGTTGGTCCCCTGGGAAAAAGATGAGGCTGTCTGCTCATATGAAGATTTACAGTCTCAGACATTGTGTAGAGTTGCTATGTGTTTGAATTGATTCAAGGACATAAGGCTTGTTTTGGGTTAAATGAAAATCTATTCTGCTTTGTCACTATAGTGTGGAGGGTTTAAGAATTCATGCTAGTACCTATTGTTGGACTTTGTTTATAATCGCTTCAATATTTTCCTCAAAAAATTAAATACTTTAGTTCAGCTTAATTGCTCTTAAAACAAACTCACTGTTGTCTTGACCTCTCCACCAGTACCAAAACTGTTAGGATCTGTGTTTTAAAAAATATATTGGAACCCTAAAAAATTATTGTTTGGGGGTGATATTGATCCAGTTTTATTCCTAATATATCATCTGACACAGCGCCATACGGATTCCCAGGCTGTCATCTCTACGGAAGTAGATAACCAGATCTATCTCCTAAAGCACGACTGGGTAGGTTCAAAACCGCCACCCTTATTTTAAGTCAGGTTTAATCAAAATCATTACAACGTTAAATGTGGATAAAAGACATACTTCATTCTCTGTAAATTCACTGATGATAAAGTTCATGCTTTATTCTTCTTAAATGTATACGTTATACCTATTACTGGTTTCAGCCTCTTCAGTTTATAATGATGTTTTTCTTATCTGAAAAACAATCTCTTATTTCACCTTAGAGGAGTTCAGTTGCTATTCAAAGATGCAGCTCTGTACATGAACATCTTTGTGGAACGTTTGAGGATATGATGAGACTGCCTGTAAGACGAAGGTGGCTGCTTTAAAACTTTGACTGGACCACACTCTCGCAGAACCCGGCTGTCTTAAGCCTGCTGTTTTGCACCGACAGGTTGCCTCCGAATTCCAACCAGCAAGGAGACTCCTAAGACTCAGGACTTCATCCAGGAGCATCAGCCACCTCAGGCCTGTGGCAGCATACAAGCGAGCAGTATGCCCGAGACACATGCATCATCAGAGAAGAGAAACAATCAAACGAAAACAAACCAGCTGCCATTGAAGCCATTCTGCCACAACGCCCCTCTCGGACAGAGTAGAACTGCTGCCGAGGGCTTCTGAGACGGCAAATCTTGGTGGAAGGAGACAGCCTCGTCTTTCTCCACAGAACGGGATTCCAATTGCTGCCCTTGCTACGTGCCCAATGGGTAACCCACGATGCCGGCTTGGAAAAGCCAGAGTCATTGTTATTTCTAGAAAACAACGGGTACATCCTAGGAATAGCTTACTTAGGATGAACCAGTCCTATCGCGCTACAGGTAATCCACTTTGTAGGAGAGGGGCAGCTTGCATTTCAAAGAGGAATCCAGTTTACTTCCTCATAAGCCACTATATGATCTTATGTCACTGCATAGGCCTCTGTGGTACATGTCACACACTGTGCTCTGCCCTCCACTGGCCCAGCTGGACAGCACATTGCAGGTAGGCTCTGCTCTGCTTCAGGAAGTCCTTGCTGGTGACCCCAGCACAGCCCTTGACTGGCAAATCCCTGCTTGAATTTATAGCCCCTTCTCATGCCTTAAGAACAACTTCCTTTTGGCTATAAGGTAGCGCTGCCAGCCCAGGTGGGGCGTCCTCAACTGGCTGAGGCAGGCCAGACCAAAGGAGACCAGCACTGCTGTGCTCACCATGCTCCTGCAGGGCCATGGTCACAGATGCACTGCAGACCCTCCCCCCACTGGCAGCCTCCTGTCAGGAGGTTCTCAGTCCTGTTTCCAGGGCCTGGCTTGTCCCACTGCCCTGATTGCTTTCTCTGCCACTGGGCACCTACCCTGCTCCGTTTCTGGTGACATGAGCTCATTTGGTGTTACAACCTCCCATCTATCTACAGCTCTTCCATTAGATCTTTGTAGTTTTCAGGGGAGTGACCCCAGGTCTACAGGGCACAATCTGCTCTAGGTTCTTGTTGATCGGCAAGTTCTCTCCCTCTGAAACCACCCTGAGGTGGGCCACTAATAGCAGTATAGGAAAAATTCCTTGTCCATTTCAAGGTATGCCTTTCATAACTCAACCAATTCCTTAAGTGTGCTGCTGTATACTTGCCCATCCCATTGGGTAAATGTGCACGCCTTTCAGGCAGCTAGCAAATGAACCAACCACTTGGCATTTTCAGTCCAACCAGTCCTTTTGGTAGGCCACAAAGGCCAC